AATACCGATAAGTTTCGTTAACTCTATCCGTTTCCATCTCAGCGGTTTCACGCCCTCTTGAACTCTCTCTTCAAAGTTCTTTGCAACTTTCCCTCACGGTACTTGTTTGCTATCGGTCTCGTGGTCAGAGTTTCCCCCCCCTCCAGCTATCCTGAGGGAAACTTCAGAGGGAACCAGCTACTAGATAGTTCGATTAGTCTTTCGCCCCTATACCAAAGTCAGACGATCGATTTGCACGTCAGAATCGCTTCGGACCTCCACCAGAGTTTCCTCTGGCTTCATCCTGCTCAGGTATAATTCAATAATCATCCATAATTAGCAGTTTTTTTCGTAAACATCTCAACTTTCTCTACTTTTGCCACCAACAACAACAATTGCAGCAATCACTTTATCGCGTGATGAAACTATTGGACTTCTATATAATCTCATAAAAAATCATTAAACCAAGAGCTATTAGGAATACGGTAAAAGATGGATGATAATTCATCCAATTATATTATTTCCAACATTTCTCATATATTGTTTATATGTTAGTAACACTCGAAAAGTTAAGTGAATTATTTGTTATTTGCTATAAATATACTTCAGTTCAAGAAATGGAAATAAAAATGCTTATGAAATCTTAGAATGGATGAAATCTTTTATTTTTCATACGATATTTAACTTAACATTTTCATTTCTTCTTCAGCTGCAATATATATTAATACATAATTAATTATAATAGAAAATATAATAGGAAATAACTAAATTATAATAGGAAATCTGTTTTCAATAGTGCAAACTTTGAGATTTGTAAACTAATTAAAATTATAATTTAGAAAATTGGAAATAGGAAGTGATTTGTTGAATGAATTTTGCAAGATTTTAAAAATAATATTTGTGAAAAAATTTAATAATTTGGCATTATTGGAAGTTTTCACAGCTAATTTCATTCGTTGGAGATGTAAAAGTGATGTAATGAAGAAATTTGCAAGTTGAATTAAATTATCCTTTGTCATGATGATATATAATATATAATGAAATTTGTCACCTTCTTATTAGTTCAGAAATGAATGATATATCAATGGTTTGCTTTTATTCTAAATAATAATTGATATTGTAAATAATAAGTAGAATTCCCATCAAAAAGCATTAATCATTGAAAAAATTTCAATATCGATAGCAAATATTAAGGAGTAAGATTTTTTGAATAATTGAATTGAATGAGAATCCTAAAATAGATTAGTTTTGTTGCTTCATTGAGGAGTATTAGGAACTTGAAGTTACTGATAAGATAAGAAGGAAAAGAGCTCAATGTTTTCCAAATAAAAATGAGAAAGAAAAATAGATTGAAATGGATTAAGGAGAATTGAATAGGCGAAAAATCTCACTGATGTATAATTTCATCTTCTGTTATTGCCGATACCTTAATTGCTACTACCATACCATTTTATCGATTTATGAATTCATTTCAAAAATGAATTCAATTATATCATTTACATTCAATTCATTGTAAATTATTTCATTTTAACTTCTTGCCTTTGTTGTTATTAAGCAATTTAATTAATTATTGCTTCCGCTCAAATTTGTTGAAGAGATGTTGTTTTATTAAGGATATAACACAAAATACATATACAGCATTCAATTTCTGTCGACCTGAAAATTTTATTTAAGCCAAACGCATCATTTAATCTTACATTCTGATTGCATTTACCATAAAACCCAAAAATTGGGATCAATCAATTAGATCACCTCGAAGCTGATAAAGCAGTAGTGAAATCTTTTATTTTTCATACGATATTTAACTTAACAATTTCGTTTCTTCTATCAGCTGTAGGAAATATGCAATTATAATATACTTGAAAAAGCTGAACACTTCACTGTTTTACTTCATCAGCCTAATTTCAAACTCATAATACTTGTGAAGAGAGCGGAAAAATTTATCCTTATTCAGCTCAAAATTTTAATAAGCGTAAATCTTTGTTCCTCAGATTTAAGATTGAACATATATATTGCGACAAATTACTTCTAGCAACTTCCATACAGTACAAAATAAGAACTTGTCCTGGTAATCAATTTACGTGTACTAAACATTAATGCATTCGCCATATTAACTGCAATATAATGCCTTGCAATTCAAAAACAAACCATTTTGAAGTACTGACATTTCTGCCGTTGAAACTTCCAGCTAATTGAAACCCATTTTACACAATAACTTAAGTGATGTGAATTCAAATGTTTCAGAAAAATTATCGCTGAACACAACAATAAATCGTTCTTACTGCATTATCGCTTTATTCCTAATATTACCACCATTAAATTGTCACAATGGGAATATGACAGATATTTTCGACATAAGAGACGACTATAATATGTCAAAAAAATACGTCTCAACAAATATTGTTTTCTCTAATTCTGCTGCATGGTATTGTTAGCAATACACTGTTGACGACAGAATTCTGTAGTCGCGACAATATGTACAGTCGTCCATTCATCTGTATCGCAATCCAAATTATTATTTGCAGCTTTTTGAATTTTATTACACAAATAATCATTGTCATACCTGAAATAGTAAAGAAGAAAATTTCTTATTGTAAGTTCTTTTCTTCTCTT